GAGGAACACGCTGAATCTGAACTGAAATATGTCTTTTCTTCTGAGCTGTTCTACAGCAACATGAAATCATTGACCTTGTCTACCTCATCAATTGTCGGTGCAAGAATTGCTCTCCCTTCAAGATATGAGATGTTGTTCATGTTGTTCAAAAAATCTGGATAAGTAGCGTTGACAATGGATTCAATGGAATCAGACATTACTGGAACATGAAAATTTTCCGGTATATCAATTTCTGCTTCTCCATCAACGCTCTCTCCCAGAACACCATCACCAATTTGTAGTATCCAATCGGCAAAAGCTTCAAAATACTTGGATTGGCCGTTTCATTTGTGAAGTTCTTGAGTCTCATGTTTTTTGTTAACTTCAACACCGTGCAATACTGCCACAAATGTGATGCATTCAAAGATGCAAGAACAATATCCTGTCTTGTGCCTTTAGGAATGACAGGCAACACTTGTCTAAAGTCTCCACCGAAAACAATCGTTTTTCCACCAAAAGGCAATTTTGGATTGCCATCATGAGAGCAAGAAAGTATGTCTCTCATACTTCTATCTAGAGCTTCAAAGCAATGCCTATTAAAATTTATATACATAGGTAACAATAATACATTAGATTTATAGTATAAAGACCCATTTAAACGCATCAATTATGATGATTAAATATAATCTCTTAAAATGTGTAGTTAGTTCAAAAATGTTTATTTTTTTAAACATATTTAAAAAAAGAATAAAAGTTACAACTAAATTGTAAACCTTGAATATAAGCTAACATGACTAAAATTACTATTGCAACCTTTTTACAACATTTTTTTAAATCATAAATATGTAATTATTCTTGACCTTTTTTGGCGCAATTTGTGTAGCTTTATGAATAAAAATTTAAAAGTTTAGTAATTAATATCAATAATTAGAACAATAAGGTACTGTAGACTAAATATTAATACTAATAATTGTATTCATAATAATAGTTTAAAAGGCAGTTCATATGTTGATGATGATAAAAAACAATATAATAATCAAACTAATTTTATTACGTATAAAATATTAAATAATACTATTCTTTTGTTTTAATAAAATTATATTGTAATTTAATAGAACAGATAATAATTATTTGGATATTGTGGGCAAATCATACCTGTGTATCATAGGGGCCTCATCCCAAATAATCAACTTGACCATTTGAATCAATTTAGCCAACGGACTACCACGCTTTATATTGCAGGTTGAGTCTTCAGTAACATTGATTGGAATAGCAAACCTTGAGTGCGCAGTACGTCCTCCAGGAAGAAGAAGTGATGCAATCCCACTCGATGCAACATTCAACACTATTTGACCTCGTGATCTTATTGCTGCTGATAAAGTCTTTCATACATATGTTTTTCCAGTGCCACCGTGACCATACAAAAAGAAGACACCTCCATTCGTCTTGTCAACAGATTCCATGATTTTATCGTAGACACTTCGTTGCTCTTCATTCATGTTTTTCAATAATTTTGCATGTGTCTCGGCCATAACAGATTTGTCATACTTCAATTCTTCATGAATTATGGTGTCTTCAATGGAAGGAATATTAGATTCAGGTGGCATTGGCATTCCCACAAAATCTCGATTTATAGAAACAAAATAAGGTTGCTATTAACTAAACAGATTTATTATATGAGTCTAAAAATTGAAGGTAGACTTATCCCATGTATATATAGGATTGCATGTTTCCTTACAAAAGTGTTTCCTTTTAGGTTTTGATTCTAGGAGTATTATATGGTGAATATACGGTTGATTTTTAAGTTTTTATTTTATTTAAAATAAGGTTTCATATAAAGGTAGAGCATACTTACCATTTTCAAAGTATTTATTTAACTAACATCTCCCTCTTCTTTTATTGTACAATATACTTACCATTGTAACACTCTTAAACTTGAGAAAAAAGAGGTGAAGCATGTAAATATGGTACTTTGAAACAGAATTTCAAAATTATATGATTATGATTTGTAAAATAGATAAATAGATTTTCACGGGATGTAAAATGAAGATATTAGAAATGTTAACCTGTAAACGTAATTAGATCGTAATTTTTTTCAAATATTAATAACAAATAAGTAAGAATTTCAATATTAGTTAATAAATATGGAGTAATAACAAATATTTGAATTTTAATAAGATTTTTTTTGTTTTTTATTCGGAATTAGAATTTCAATAAGCATCTAGGCACACAAGTGCAAAAATGAATAAAACATACTTCGTACAAAGAATCACCATAACCTGTCCAGGCAGCCTCCAAAAGCATCTCTGTGTGACTCATTTTTTCTCTTCACCTTCATTTTAAAGCGTAAGTAGTTCCGTTTTTTGGTTATTGTTTTCTCCCTAAAAGAATAACCTCTTTTTTCCCATAGAAGAAGAAACTATTTTTTCACTTCATCTTCTAGAGCATGGTGCTGTTTTGATAGCTGAAGAAAAAATTGCATGCCCAAGAAGCATGCCAGAACTAACAATAAAATTTTCCAGTGAAGAAAAGCATATTTCTTAATCCAACTCCCACAAGGAAGGTTTGCTATTTTAAATAGATGACCACATAGAATCTGAATTTTCACCTTTGCCTATTTTATCAATTCAGTTCATGTTTCTTTGTTATTATATTCTGTTGGTCATAACATCAGTGATTTAGTCAACCTTTTTAGTTCACTGCAGGCTATTTAGAGTGACTCTTGGTATTAATTTGGTGAAAACCATACTCACTGAACTAATTTTGCTTACCAAACTAAACTTGCTTTACAGATTTAGCCACACTACCTATGAAATTAAGCCATAAAGAAAAGCTTTCATGAATTTCTTCTACGGAATCATAGGTGAACTATAGTTCAGTTTTCCTCTAATTAAATAAAACCATCAATAAATTGAAGGCAAAGGGATAAATAACTGGGATTGAGGGAAAAGGCTATTGGGAATTGGGGGCAAAGGGATAAATAACTGGGATAAATAACTGGGATTGAGGGATCAATATTCAGCCTTCACGTCTAACAAAAAGAATTTCACTTAATCCCTTGTAAGAGATTACATTAGTGCAGACTTGGGATTGAAGGGAAATGGTTTGGTTAATTTACAACATAAAAATCAAAATTAATTAAAAAGGAAAATATTCAAGGAATTAAAATGAAAGTTGAAATGAAAACTTATAATCTGAATGTAGAAATTTGGATGCACAAAGCACTCTCCGAAAACTTATAATCTGAATGTAGAAATTTGGATTCTTTAGTCTTTACATTGTTTAGAATATCTTAGCTAAGTTGATACAAACATTCACGAATGTTTAGAGTACCTTAGCTGAGTTGATACAAACATTAATATTTAAAACATTTAATATTTGAATAGGCTTAGAACACATACCCCACCAGCATCACAACAGAAATGAAGGGAACAAACAAATCCCAAATCCAAGTTCGTAGGGAGAAAACCACCACCTGATTGTGTTTTACCTTGGCAGGGCAATAGCAAAACATACTTCTATCACCATCACCTCCATAATTGCTATGTACAAAGCATTTGTACATTAGATGCTTAAGTGACTTTCGAAAGTAGAGAATCAAAATACCAAAGAATCATATATAAGAAACATAATCTCCTATTCTATACTAAAAGTGGAAGATTTTGACATGTAAGATTTTCAGCAAGAGATACTTCATTGAGGAATTTTAACAAACACATTCCAAACACTGTTTTGGTATCAAAATCTGGAGGTCAAAATCTGAATCAAGAACTGAATTACTAATTTTAAAGAAAATTAAAACCTGAATTTTAAGACCCAGGTGGAGAGTGGAGTTGCTTCCATGCTTCTAAACTTGGATTGCCCCCTGAGTAGTACAACTTGCTCTTTCTCGCTGCTACACTACTCTCATTCTGCCAAGGTGTAGAAGAGGGAGGTGCAAAACTATCGGGAGAAGTCGACATCCTGATTCCCTACGCCCACTCACAGTAGATGCACTTTTGAAGGAGATAAGGAGATCGGGGTGGTGAAAGGGGATGGTGTAGGGATTTATCTGGATTGAGATTGATGAGGATGAAGAGGGAGAGAAAATGGAGAAGAAGCATAGTTGGAGGTAGACGAAAAAACCGAAGGAGATGAAAGAGGCGGTGATTGATCTTGTCAGGCGGGTGATGGTTTGGCGAAAGATGTTTGTTCAATGGACGGTTGAGATGCACATACACTTTAGGCGGGATTACTGTAGCATGAACAGTGAATTTACTGTAGCATGAACAGTGAATTTTTGTATTGCTTTTATGTAGAAGATTTATATAAAAGAATAAATAATGTAATTAATACTAAAATAAAAGAATAATTAAAAGTAAACTAATACTAGTATCATAATTGCAAGTTGTAATTAATACTAAAAGATTCCACAAAGATGTAAAAAAATTCACTAAGGTGTCAAAAAATTCCACTACGTATTACGTAGTATGTGCTCCACTATGTATTAAAATATTTCGTAACAAATAAGGATCAATATATTGATTGACAGATCTACTAATGCAATATAAAATATTATAATACTCATGCTGTCATGCTCTAAATTATCCACTAACCAGTAGTGGAGTACCTTTTTCCTATCCATCCAGAACATGTATCAAAAAATTAATAAATAGATAAAATATAAAACCCTTACCTTGAAGAAAAGGATGCAAGCAGGGAGAAAGTTGCGGAACGAACCTTCTGTGGCGCAGAGAAGAAATTAGACGAAGTAGGAACTACCAAGGTTGCAGAAGTAGCTACCCCTACGTACGTAAACTTATATACTTACGCGTCTAAGGTTTTTTTTTTAATTGGTCTGCAACAACGGCATTATTTTTAATGGCGCATTCGCGCCTCAACACCCGATTTTTGCTAACACAATAAGCGTACGCTATTTCTAAAAAGGCGCAGACTTCCCCATTGCCTAATTCCATTTCAGCCTTGTGTCCTAGAATGTCTAAAAATGGCAAGGCTAGCCAGCCTAGCCTTATTGCGTAGAGGCGGAACGCAATTTAAAACAACGAGCATGAGAGTTAAAACCCGAAGAAATAAAGACTTTTCCCCATAAATTCTGAACAGGGCCATTCATACAATGTTAACACAATAATAAGTTCATATGGTACGTTTCTCCTTTCAACTCTATTAGGTCTGGTTGTCAATGAGAGAACTCAGAGAAGCTGGTGTGTTACATCTCCCCGCATTCAGCAATAACACAAGGCAATTTTGGCCTGTTATTTGGTCCTGTAGCCACATTCTCGATCTTCCTCATCACAAAAAGACCATCGCCAAGTACTCGCTGTACAAAAGGAGTAAAATAAATATACTACTATAAACTAAAAAGAGACTAGTCTATACAAAATAACCATTTTATTTAAAGAAAATAGAGTAGCAAGTGAGAAAAAAATATCACATCATATGTTTCTTATCTTCCTTTTTTTCAATTAAGGAAATAACTGCATACCCCAAAGACAACATGTTTGTTATCGAGCCAGTCACATTTCGCACAGGTGATGAAGAACTGCAACAAACAAGGAATATCATTCTTCTCATTCTTCAATACATGTATAGAAAATGAAATTTGAATTCCTTGTAGAAAGAATATAAAAGGATTTGAAAATATATTATTTGATTTGAAGGAATGAAACTAAGAGGACACCAAATTCCAGTGTTTGATATACACAGGAATAGATTACACTAGAGTATGAAAGGGTCTCAAATTTGACACTGCGGAGTTTCAATTCCGCTAAATTAAAAACAAAAAACAAAAGGATGAGTTAGGAATTGCAACCCCTCAAAAACAGAGGAGCTATAACTCAACCAAAAAACAATTATCAAACGAGTAGTGGATTTTTCTTTTAACTTTTTGGGAATTACAGGGAAGACTTGCTCCTTATACACCCTTGTGTTGGGAGTTGGGACCCTCACCTTGCGGGGAAACCAATGTGTACTGGGCCGCCCTCTTAGAGAAAAGAGTGGCAGCCCCCCCCCCCCCCCAAAAAAAAAAAAAAAACCACCTGCCTAGCGGTCAGAAAGTCCTCTAAAGTGTAACTATCCCTCAAAATCTCTCAGGTGGCATACTTGAACTAAAAAACTGATAACTAAGAACTGGCTCTTCTAGGCATACCTGACAACCATTAGTATTTGGCCCACTATTTGCCTGCCATAAAAATGAATTATAAGTTCCAGTCCATTAATCATAAATTGTTCTATACAGAGTAACATATAAAGCGCCATACCATAGATAATAAACCAGGTCCAGTGTGTTTTGCAATGAAGTTTTCGTCATCAAATTTACTACCATATATTGATACACATCCACTTCCATCATTCTACAAAGTAAATCAAGCAGAGGAATGAGCAAAAGCAAAGAAAATAACTCAATAAACTCATTTGCAAAATATCAGCGAGTATGCAGGAGTTTTAAAGCACTATAAACATAAAAGTTCAAAATACTGGGTAGAGATATTAGGGGTGTATGTAGGAAACTCTAGTGTCTGAGATGTACAGTCTTCAGTGTACTTTGTGCTTGTTCATATGTAATCCATGTGATGGGCCAAAATGACTAGCTGTTTTTACCGTGTACCTATCATTGTTAGAGACATTTGATGTGTGTGTCTATGCTCGTGGGGAGTGTGTTTGTAGAGACAGGAAGATATATAACGAGACAGATATGAAGAGCAACCTTAAGATAATCACCACCTTGAATCATAAAATCCTTAATCACCCTATGAAACTGAGAATTCTTATAACCCTGTGGAATTCCAGCTTTCCTGCAAAATTTAAATTTAAGTTAAATAAGAGAACAAACACAAAAGTGAAATGAAAATAATAGGGCATCTATAGCTTTTTGGGGGCCCTAGACAATTGGCCAACACTTAATATTGAAATATTATCTTCACATCTTTTCTATACTAAAAAAACTTTGATCCTGTTCATTAACACCTATTTTCAGCTTATGAGCAAACTTTTTCACAAGACACGTAACTTTTGATTTCAAACCCTGAATTGAGTAATAATCAAAATAAGTAAGGCTAGAGTTACTTTTATGGCTGAATTTGCTATATTGTTGAATTACTATTGTTAATTAGATGGGCTTAAACCGAGTAGATGATTACCTGTGCTCGCCTGTGCAAAATTGCCTGAAAATAACAATAATTTAAGGTTAAGAATAACATTGTTCACAGCAAAGTAATACGTAATAGAATAAGACTAGAACCAATGTACCATATACTAGCCCTAAATTAAAGGCAACTTTAATCAGTAAAACTAACACTAACAATCAATGCCCTTCTTGCTGATAATTCGTTACCCCTACTCGAATTCACAATGCACAGTTTAATCTCACAACATAAGAATAACGCGGACTAACAAAAACTACAAACTACTGAGCAAAGCGAAAAATAAAAGTTAAATATTGAACTGGAGCAGCAAGTGGTAGCATTGCTAGGGTTGGGGATTGATTACGAGTTGCAGACGTGAATCGGGGTTTATATAAGGGTTTAGATTGACCTGAAGTTTTCAGCGGTTTTGGGAGCAATGTCGGCGAAGAGCTCCATCTTGATACGGCCAGCAGGGATGCTTCCGATGGTTACGTCGAAGAAGACGATAGGATTCTTATGAGATTGAGGCCTTATGTGCCACTCAACCCCTGACCCAGCTGTTCCACCTCCTCCGACATTTCCTGTTCCGCCGCCCGAAGCCATCAGGTTTCAGTAAGTTCAGTCACGCAACCAAACCCAGAGAGGAACCGCGAATATTTGATGAAGCCATCAGCTTCACTCTATGATTTTTGTAGGTCATTATTTCATCCCGAGTATTATTATTATTATTATTACTCCGTACTATTTTCTTCAATTGTTTATTTTAAAGGAGTGTTTTGCAAAGTTTTTTTTATGAAGGGGCTTATATTAGAATATAAAAGCATTTAGGAAGAGACTGAAATAACAAAAGCTCCAACTATAACCATCTGTCCTTGGGTTAGACTCTGAGTTAAACACCCTTGAAAAAACAGTATAACTCGCTGATCCTAAACTGGGCATAATTGAGTCAACAATGGTTACTGCAGAACTCTCATCTCTCAATCGTAATGCAAGAGTCTTACAAATCCAAACAAAACAAAAGCCAAAAACAACAGTCTTAACGTAGAAATTAATGTGAAAAACAACATAAAAGTAAAATCCAAATTGAAAATTCTTCAAACACATCCTCACGCATGCGACCGGCGGGTCTAAGAGCTCAGACCCGCCTCCTCCCCATTTTTTGCGCTGTCCAATGTCATCTCCCCTCCTAATGTGTCCTCATGTGCTGGATCCTTCCAGATTCTCCTGCGCTTCTGATCAACCGAGACCTCCACTGCACTGCTTCTACCCTCTTCCTTTGTGCCGCTGTTCTCAGACTCGGTTGTAATCTCCATGCGTCCCTGTCTCATAATGTTTTCATCTTCTTTATAAACCATTCTTTGTTGACTTGGACCCCTCTGTTTATCCACCAACCATTTACTACCTCTAGTGGGGCTAGTCTTTCCCCTCCTCCTGCTCTAAGTCCCGCACTAAATGTTTTTTCCAGAGCAATATCTTCCACATATTTCAATGGGAAAAGTTTCTCAGAGTGTCCCATTATCCCCCAAGTAAAACAAAAGTTTGGTAACTTCTTATACTTGAAATCTACCCAGTGTCCCTCACCTCCTTTTGACAAAGTAGATCCCTTTTTAAGGGTCTTCTTACATCCATCTTCACCCTAACCCTCAAATAAGAATTCCATTTTTCCTTAAAATGGCTCTCATCAAAGCTAATAAATTCTGCAATATAATTACCCACTTTTCTAGCAGTGCCTACATTCATAATTTATATGGATGGTTCTATTGGTTGCTACTATACATTATCGCCACCACAAGATGGTACAATCTAAAACACTTGTTGACGATTATCACATGTATAGTATCCAATTTCAAGTTTTAGGGAGCCTTTATCGGCATTTTCTTATGAAACAGATCTTCACATCTTATTCTTTTATTTAAAAATGTTCACCTTTTTCTTACAAAATTCTACCAACTTCTCTTGTTGACAAATACAAGTTCCTCCTTACTATTATCTCTATCCTATCTCCATAGGCTATAATTACATAAAGTTTATTTTATTATCCCACATATCATTCAAGTTTGGGCTAGTATTTATGGGATGGATCCAAAGTATTTATCCATTTTTTTTATTACATTTGGTATATGTACTACGTATTATATACTTCCTTTGTGCCTCAACAGTTGGCTAGGATGAAGTATAAGAAAAAAATGTGTAGTGAAAAATATGCAGAGAGCGCTTTAATTTTTTTATAATACGAAAGTCATGAGAATTTTTAGTTTGATTTGTCAAATGTAAAAGGTATGAAAACAAATATTGATGACGAAAGTATCTTTTTAAAGCTTTTTTGTTGTTGTAAAAACGACTATGGTGATAATAATTGTATACAATACGACACAAAAACTAACCTTGTTGTTAGAATAAGAGACGGCTATCCACAAGAAAGCAACTCAAAGCTCGTATACTTCTAAATTTTGATTGCCCGATGTCAGACAATAGTATTGGTCACTCTACCAAAATAAACACACAATTTCCAACAAAAATGTAAAGGGGCGCACAAAAAATAGCTTGAGTTGAAGCACTCTTCGTGCAATATACCTAAACAAGAGATCCTCTAACCTTCCATTCTTTAGGTTTACCCGCAGTTTCCTGCAAAACCCACATTGGTTTTATCCCTTCTCATGGTGACCCCGAGAGCTAGCCATGGAACATTATAAGGCATCATGTTTATTAAATGTTGGGGCATGTTAAGCAACACATACCATCAACCCATTTTTATAACATTGTGGTCCCATACCCATATTATCTTGACTCTTGTCCACCGGTTCCTCACGATCTTATGCACCCATCATTTCTCATGTAAAAACTCCCCATTACAAAGATCCCTACATTGATTAGGACTTTCACTCGTGACCCATTTACCTCTAACTTGGGTGTCACCGCCTCATCACACCACTCTCCAAGTTCGGTTGTCCTCAATCCCCCATCTCCGACTGTCATCACCCACTACAAGATATATTGTCTACAATGAGAGAATCCCATAATTTAAACATTCAATCCCGTCATAAAATATTATTAATGACGGGATAATCTACGGTCACCGTCCGTCACTACTGCTTTCACGGTTAAAAGTAAATAATGACAAGATATCAGTCCTGTCATTAATGAGTATGTAATGAGAGTGGATTTATTGTCATTAAAAATGATCTCTCATGACCAAAAATCATGTCATTAATACAGTACTAAAACCTACATTTATTCTTATTTATATTATTTCTATGACCAGAATACCGAATATACCGTTATTAATACAACTATTTAATAACAAAAGTACTCTCATTTTTATTAATCTCATATGTCACAAATGTTAACTTTAGTGACATGAAATACAAATATACTAAGTAATGCACACCGATAAAGTAATATTACATTTTATTTTAACTATAAACATCATATTCTAATGATCAGTAGCACGTCCAGAGTAATTGATAATCAATTTTGAAAAATGCATACATGGGAAACTATTTCTATTAAACAAATCAACACTACAAAATCGGTCATATTACTAGACATTGCTCAAATTTAAAAAGTTTGTTCCCCCTTGCGACATCCTCAACTCAAATATGCAGTTTGGTACTTGTTAAAAATGAACAGAGAATACTAAGTTTCACATTGTAATGATTCTTAAAGAAAAATATATGCATGATAATCATAAGCCGTATGAGAATACATTTGTTTAATTTCCAGACACTCAATGGTAAGCCTGAGTAAAACCAAAAATCTCAAGATAATTCTAGAAACAATCAACATGCCAATATCAGTTTGAAGATGCTTTAGCAAATTAAAAATGTTGACTATATAGTTTTCTATAAATGTTGTGTGCTAACCTGAGCCAACATTTATTGACAATTCCAAAAAAAAATAACTACGAGTATATATTTTGCTAAATGTGCTAAACAACATTTAGGGGAAAATCACTCAAGATGGTTCTGCTATAAATCCATGTTGTTTAATACATTCATTAAGGGCCAAAACACCCTCATGACTTTAAAATGCTACTTTTAAGACATTACTTTTATAATACTCCCTCCGTCCCAATTTGATGGTCTCATTTCTTTTGGGCACAAATTTTAATAAAGTGGTTGAAAAGGTAAAAGTTGTGGTTGAGATTTGAGTAGAAAAAGATGAAATGATGTGAACCACAACTTTCTTTCCAAAAAGGGAAACAAGATCATCATTTTGGGACATCCCAAAAAGGAAATACAGGACCATCATTTTGGAATGGAGGGGGTAGTACTAACACTATTAACATGCATTCCCCTATAACATCACTAACATCAATCAAATAAATACAATACATGTATTTCCCCTTCATTTTCAACTTCCTCTCTTCAAATTAAATAAATTAAATACAATACAAGAGTATTGTATGAGCAAAAAAAATAATACAATACAAGAGTATGCATGAGCATGTACTAAAAGAACACAAATCAAAACCCCATACACATTGAAGAGAAAATGTAAATAAATGAAAACCCTAAACTCTTCCCATTATAGGAATCTAGCTCTAAGTGTGGTAACTTTTTGTTCTTATTTTCTCCTCTAACTTTCTTTCTTTATGTGCACCTGAAAATAGTTTAAAGAAGAACTCAGTATCCTTATTGTGTACTGTATTTATAATCATGTATCCAGAATTTAAGGGAGTATGTAAGACATAAACTAGCTCTACAAAATCCCGTATTTAGTTGCTAAATTGAAGCAACCATATCTTTAGCAAGAAACAAACACTTACGCAAATCATCAATTTTCCTATAACCAGAATTAAATGTCTCTTCTTATTGTGTACAATTTATTTACTAAGTGAGACAACTATGTTTTGCAAAAAGAATGAAAAAACTGACCTAATGCAAACCACCACAAGATGAAAAGAAAAGGGAAAAAAGTACCCCTGAAGTTTACACTATAGAACATCCTGGCACAAAAAGCAACTCTTATCAAAAGTCCATAAACCTCCTAAAAAGAGGTGAAACTTCCTGGCCTCTATATCATTCAAAGCCACCCATGCAGCCGCTGTTTCTGGAAACTTTCTCCAACATAATAATAGAAGAGATAACTATTAAGGTATGCCCACTAAAGAAAAATATATGTATCAGTATTTAGGGGATTATGTCCCTTAGTTTTACTTAACATTAACCAATTTTTAGTCACAGGCTGACTTGACTTCCAGTAGCTAGTATTTATTTAGGAGTAATTAATTATCACTACAATGACACAATATACATCATTAGTCATTTACTTTAAAATATAAATGGTGCAGGGTTTTCCAAAAAATACAAGGTGCAGGGTTTATAGCAATTTAAGAGCATATTAAACATGATTGTCGTTCTACCAATATAATCTCATACCATGAGAGTTTGAGGAGGCAAGTCATATATACATCTTTGGTTTCAATTTCTTGCTTTGTGCAAGCTATCCCCAATTGCAGTAAATCCCTAGAAATAGGCAAAAGACAAAACATACAAAATTTTAGTTTCAGATCATACAAAAAATGTCATAACATACATAAACTTCATACCATACTGAAAGCGTGAAAGTTTCAATCTCAAAATCATAATTGATCACTAAAATAAATCTCATAACATACAAAGTCCAATATAAATTGTAAGAATGTCAACAATAGCAGAAATTATAGCCATTAGTGTACTAATTTCATAATCTAAATCAAACTCAAAACACCTTTTATGCA